GCAGATCCCGCTGCTGGGCTCGGTGACGGAGGCTCAGCTCCCAAAGCCTGTCCTGGAGCCAGCTCAGCCCCTTGGCACGGCTGACAGCACCCACACAGTGACACTGAGGAGGAGGACACGCGTGGCCCAGAGCCCGGGAGGGAGATGGGACCATGGCCGGTGGGAAGCGGGGCTGTTCTCCAGCCTCTGCTGATCCCTGGGGTTTGGCATCAAGTCACTGCTCCATTTGGAAGCAGCAGTAAATAGCCAGGGGTGCAGGAAAATATCACAGGATGGTTGGAGAAAAGAGGGGGGGAGGATGCAACATCCTCTTTCCATCTCCTTTCTCTCTTCCCTGGAAAAGTACTTGGATATTGCACAGAGCAAAAAACGTCCATGGGCAAGGTCCAGGTGCTGGGTGAGTCCAAGGGAACGGGCACCTGGTGCTCCCCAGGTAAGGGATCACCTGTGGTGACAGTGTCATGGGGTGGCACTTGTTGTTCCTGCACCTCAGGGTGCCCCTCCATCCCGCTGCCCGACGGCAGGTTGGGAATGGTGCCGTCTCCCCTGGCACAGCACACCCACCCCTACACCCCCCACCGCCCCCTCCCCACATCTCTTTACCTGAAGGCAGGTTCAGAGATGCTGTTGCAGCCTCTCAAGTCTCCTCAATGTTTTTCCCGCTGGTTTTCCCACCAGCAGCAGGTTTTCCTCCTGTTTCCCAGGGCAGTTTTCCCTCCTGGCTGCGTCCGAGAGAGCCATCCAGCCGAGGCAACTTGATCCAGCCTAACCCAAGAGTGTTACTTAAGACCAGCTCCCTCCCTCCCACCCGCTCCCCTGCAGCTTGCACGTAGCCACAGGTGGCTGTTCATCAGAGACAGGGGCAGGAAATTAAAAATAATAAGTTTTAAAGGCTTTTCTTTATAGGGGAATAATTTTAAAGGTGGGGTTTTTTTGCCAAGTTTTCGAGGTGGCTCTGGTTGAGCCTTTACCACGCACCTGTGAGCCCACACGTGAGAAGCCCTGGCAGCACTGAGAACTCCTTGTTCTGCTGCTTTGGATTTTGTGGTTGTTATTGTTATATTTTGGGGGATTCTATCCCTGTTTTTTACCTCACAAAAGCCACTGGACACCCCTCAGATCATCTCCAAGGCTGCCAAAATGGGAGCTGCAGGTAAGGGTGCTGCCTGCACCCCAAAGCAGAGGGAAGCAACTTCCTGAGACACTTGCAAACCCCATCAGTGCAAAAAACGGGAAATCTGGGATTTCCATCCATTTTCCATGCCCCAGTCACCGTTCACGCTTATCCCACCCTGCCTACAGGTGATCAGGGAAGACCTGGGTTTTCCAAGCAATATTACAACCTGTTGGCTGCCAAGATATAAAAAAACCCTGGGATTTAAAAGCAATTCCCCATCGTGCATCCAGGCCAAACCCCGACAATTCCAAGCCCTGAACCCCAAGGCCAAAGCTCTGCTCACCTCTGATGTTGCTCTTTGGGAAAATCCCAGGACAGCCAAATCCACCAGGAAAATTCTCATCCGTGTCTCAAGTAATTCCCTGGAGGGGCCTTTCCCCATCAGGATCAACTTTTCGTTCCAGCTGGGGCAACATCCAGTGTGGGATGGAGGGAAAATGGGTGGATGGTATCGGGACGAGCCTCTCCCTGGGCCTCCAGAGCAGGAGAGAAGGATGGATCCAGGATAAGGAGAAAGGATGAGTCAGGCTGCCCCAAAAACTTGGGTGTGAGCTGTGAGACAGTGATGTCCATCCCAAAGGAGCTGGGAATCCCCTGGGAACACGGATCAGGAGGGGTTAAGCAAAGCTGTAGGAGGTAGAGCAGGGCTGGGTTCGAAGCACTAATTGAGGAGGTCACAGATCCCGTGGGACCCTAAAACAAGTTAAAATTAAGGGGAAAACATCCAAAAAAGAAGGAAGAAGGGGTGCTCCTTCCACCAGGGAAGTTACAGGCACTCGGGGTGCTCAACACACCCCACGACCTGGAAAAGGGGAACAAGTAGAAGTGAATAAACCCCATGGTCATTCAGAGCTGTTCACCCACAGCATCAGCCGGAGCTGATGGAATTACTGGTGTGGGATTTGCCACCACTTTACGAGGCTTTATAGATCCATGTGCCCCAGGCAGGGATCGGTTTGGCTGCAAAACCTTCAGAAACGGGGCAGAGGAGAGAAAAAAAAGATCTTTGTGATGACCTGGAGTCCTGGTGCACTGGGAAGGATTAATCCTCTGTCCAGGGGAAAGAAGGGAATGCAGCAGCAGCGCCCAAAAGCTGCACAGGGATCTGCAATTCCCTCTTTCCC